GGAAAGCTTATGAAAAGAGCTTGAAGTTAAAAAAAATCGTCAAGATTCGTTGAAAAACAACGGAGTTACAGACTGTCAAAAAAAATACTTTCATAACCGGCAACCGGAGTACTTTCCCAGATAAAAATATTTTATTGGTGGAAGTATGTTAAGTGCTTAAGAAATATTGTCAAAATTCAGTGGGTCGCTTGGTTTTTCGGCCAGCCGTGGCACGGCGGAAGGGTGGGGGAAGCGAGCGACAGCGAGTCCGAAGAAAATGACTATAATATTCATAGTCCTGCCTTTAAAAAAGCGAAATTCGCTTGAAAATAATATATTTGACAGTCTGTAACTCCGTTGTTTTTCAACGAATCTTGACGTTTTTTTTAACTTAAAAGGTTTTTTCATAAGGTTTCCAAATATGTAACTATATCAAGCGCGTGCGTCGTATATTTCATTTTGCTACTAGGGCTAAAAAATAAAAAACTTTCCAGGTTGCAAATTTGAAATTTAAAAAAAATTATAGATTTCAATGTATTATGAGATCTACCATGAAAAAAATCAGTGCAATTTTGGAAGATGCTCTGGATCGTCCAGACTAATAATTAGTTAATTTGTTTAGACCATAACTTGTAAACTATTCAACTTACCGATTCCAGATTTCATGCGTTTTATTAGACAGTAATAAGGAATGAGATAATGCGATGCCAAAACGTTCTGGTACCTAATAATAACGCAGTTTATAAATGTTTAATTCAAAAGTCATAAATAACCTTCTTCTGTTTATAACTTTTGATCTAATCAATATTTTTTGACACTCGATGGCTAGTTTTGCAGGTCTTTTGAAGACAAAACCAAAAAGTACTTTACTGTTTTCTTGTGGAAATGAACGAAAAAAGTTATAAGCGAAAAACGTGAATTTACGTAAAAATTATACAATTAACCACCCTGTAATTAATCTTCCCCCCCATTTGTATGACTGTGGCAACTAATATGTTATTGTACATAATATTTAGCATCTATAGCGATAAATTCAGCTTGCCGAAACAAAAAGTCGCGCCCAATTCTATATTTCCTGGCCTATTCTATTTTGTAAATAAATTTAGATATACATTCGTCTGATTTACAACTAGACATTTATCATCAGTACCGATTTTAGCCATGGTTGTCGAAGAAAACTAGGATACCATTCCCCATAGAGCTGGTGGCTGTCGTGATAGGGACTACTGTCAGTTATTTTGGCAACTTGAACGCGAAATATAATATCAGCGTTGTAGGACACATCCCAACAGGGTAGGTTTGTATAACTATTAATTTTTTAATATAAGTTGTATAGCATGATGCTAAATCTGTTTAAAAAGCGTATTTAGTTTGTTTTTATTTGCAAGCTCGATAACATTCCCCTGATAAAAAAATACTGACCCAATTGACCCATATTCTGTTTAGATTAAAGGGACTTAAAGTACATTTGAAAATGATGAAGAGAGATAAACTTATGCACATGCGTACGTAAGACAAGGGTGAACAGCGCGTTTGCAAAGTTCTATTGCAGCGGTGGTGCATGTACAGAAATCTATTTTAATAATAGAATTTATATGAAATTAAATAAAGAATAAACGAAGTATCAAACTTTTCTTTGTAAAAATCGCTACTTCATTTCATATGTAAAATCAGAAATAAGAAAAATTGCCCACTGACCGTATTTTATTGAGTTGTTCGACTCTCAAATATTTTTAGATGGACCATACAACTGTTTAGCATGATATTGATCCTTAATATTTGTAGTGGTTATGTATGTATTAATTAGAATAAACAATAGAAATATATATTATGTTAGTAAGCCGCTTTATGCTCACAATACACAATACTACTGATTGCCATAAAAACACGTGCCATACATTCGACCAAGCAAAGCGGCAAACTCGCTCACACACGCACGAACGACAATGAAATGAACCGTCAACGTCCTCGGAAAAGCACTCGAACAGGGCAGGCAGGGGTGCCGTTAGATACGTACCGAATAAATTGATCGATGCGAAGCTTTAGGTCACAGGCAGACATGTACATGTTTTTGTACAATGACGCGGATAGTGGGAGTACTAAAATGTGGCGTAGATCGTGTTTTGCCACCATTAGTAAAAATCATTCAGTCGAATTTACGATTTGTGAGCGCCAGATAGATCCGCCATTTTGAATTTTGTAAATATGACCTCGAAATCGGGATCTGCGACCCAGAAAACCCCTGTTTACCAATTTCGGTATTGATATATTGATTTTTCGAAAATGTTGTCCGCCATATTGGATACGCCATTTTGCAAATTTGACTTCGGATTCGACCTCGAAAACCCCCATATTGCTTAATTCCGTGAATTTTCTGAAAATCTTAATTTAATCTTAATTTTTAATTTTTTTTTTAAAGTGAGACTCACTATCTTAATTCTGACAGTGGATTCGGATTCAGCGAGTCGAAATACCGTAGAGTATGTTGTTCTGTTCAAAAGAATATTTTTTTCTTTTTTTTTAAAGTACTTTTTGTTGAAACAACGTATTTTTTTGTGAGGTGCCTTAATGGAACCACCATTTTGAGGTTATGTTTGATGATTTTTGCAAAACAGCAGACGGCATCAAAAACTAGAGTTCAAAACGAAAATTTTGATACCCGGCAGAGTTTTTTTTTTCGTAAAAATAAAATGGGCAGATGAGGTCGCTGATTTGAAAAAGAATGCCCCATACATATTTTTTTACATTTAGTGTAGAAAAATAGACACTGCCCATTTTTTGTATCATACTATTGTAGATATTTGTACTTACATATATACAGGGTGATTCAACATATCCAAAAAAATTTTTGAATGTACAGGGGACTCAAATACAGTTTTGTAAAAAAATTTAAACTATTGTAAACACTATAGCAACGACGACTGTAAAATCGGATTTCAGCATTCGGAGTCGCTGAGGCCACGTGGCTCTCCACGCGTATTGCGCATGACACTAGAGACTACAGCTGTCCAGCTATGTAATGGTAGAAAGTACTACAACTTCAATAATTTTTTTCTCAGAAACTATAAGGATTAGAAAAATTTTTTTTTGCGATATGGATTCCATTCCCAAATTTTTTTGGATAAGTTGTGAATCACCCTTATATCAGCAAATTCCACTGCTTCTGCTGCTATTATATTATTAATTAACAAAGTTAATTTGTGGTTTTAATTAATAAAATAATTTGAGATGCCTGATGTTACAACAACTGTTAAAAATTTTGTCCACCGACTTGTAAACACATTTGAACCCGTCTTACTCAGTTTCTACGAACTATCACAAATGTTGTCTTGCTTCGCCATAACACAAATGCTTCACCACAACACAAATGTTGTTTTCCTTCATCATAGATTAAAACGATAACCAATTTCTCCGACTTGCTATACACGTAAGCCATTTTTGACATTTGAAAAACTAATGTAAACACTATCGCAGAAATGTTAATACAAAAACAAATCTTAGATTACCAGAACCGGCCCTGCCTGCTTTTGAACTGATACCCCACATCTTCCTGGACTCTTTCGTCATCACCATGGTCTCCTACACCATCACCATGTCCATGGCCCTGATCTTCGCCAGGAAGCTGATGTACGAAGTAGACTCGAATCAGGAACTTCTGGCGTTGGTAAGTAACCCGACTCGACCGCCATCAAACCCGTTGTAACCGTATTTTTAACGTCCTAGGGTGTCAGCAACACTGTAGGATCTTTCTTCTCTTGTATACCGATCACGGCCTCGCTGTCGAGGTCCATGATCCAGCAGGCGGTGGGAGGGGTCACCCAGATAGCCTCGGTGGTGTCCTGCTGCATCCTCCTGGTGATTCTGCTGTGGATAGGGCCGGTTTTCGAGACGTTGCCCAGGGTAAGTGTATTTTTTTTGCTTTGAGCTTTGAAGTCGAATAAAAAAATTCATTTCCAGTGCGTTCTGGCTAGCATCATCGTCGTAGCTCTCAAGGGCATGCTCGTCCAGTGCACCGCCGTGTTGAAGTACTGGCGGCTGAGCAAGTGGGACGCCGTGGTGTGGTTCATAACTTTCGCCACCACCCTCTTCGTCCAGATCAGTTACGGGCTGGCGGCGGGTGTAGCTGTGTCTTTGCTCAGCGTCTTCATCCAGGGGTACAAGCCTTATACTTGCTTGTTGGGCATCGTGCCCAATACGGACCTCTACTTGGATATCAAGCGGTACAAAGGGGTGAGTAAACGATAAAACTTTTTTATTGTTTTCCTTTTCTTAGACCTGTGAGTTAAACGCACTTAAAAAACATTGTTACCTGGACTGTTATAAGTGAAAATGGTAAAAGGGCTTATAATAAATCTAAAAAAAAATAAATGAAGTGAGCAGGGGCGGCGGAGGGTTGATTTGGGGTGTTGAAATGTTTTGAAAAATTGTATTATCTGGATTTCTGGCGAAAGTTGACGTCAAACAAAAAAGTATCCAATACAAAAGTTGTAGATCATGCAAAAGTCTACAACTTTGACATCAGTCACTTTTTAACATAACCTCAAAATTCCCGAGAAAAATGCGAAAAACAGTTTTTTTGATTTTTCGTTTTTTATTTCTCATTTCCGCAAAAATAATTTAATTTTGAATTTGGTGAAAGTGGTTTCTCAGGCTTAAATAACCTCAAATTTTTTTAGATAAAAAAATCAAGAAGTTTCTGAGATATTCATTTTTTTCGGCCTGAAACACTTTTTTTCAAAGAAAAATTGTACTTAAAAAAATCGTCGTACTGAGTTCTGCCGGTAATAATTTTTTTCGTTTTGACATATCTTTTTGGTGAAATAAAAAAATCTATAATAACATTTCAAAAACATGCTCAAAAATGCAAAAAAATTAAAAATGACTTGCAACAATGTATTTTTCAGTTATTGTTGATAATTTGTTTAAATTAAAAAACATTCAAAAACTGATTACTTGTTTGACGTCAACTTCCGCCAGAAATCCCAATGATACAATTTTTCATAACTTTTCAACCTCCCAAATCAACCCTCCGCCGCCCCTGCTCACGCATTTATTTTTGTTTTCGTTTATCATAAGCCCCTTTACCATTTCCACTTATACAAGTCCAGGTAACAATTTTCTTTTTTTTCCCTCTAAATGAGTTATTTTGATCGGTCTAAGAGCTTATCTTCGTGTTCCATATTTTTTATATTAATCATGACAAATTGATTGCTGAATTTTCATTTTCCTTGACTATAAAAATGTCACATTTCAACTCAGTTCAATTATATCAATATTTTAAACCAAAAAAAGTGTAGCCAAGGTATTATGATAAAAAAAATATGTCTCCATTTTTGGTAGATCTACTACGAAAACCGTTATCTGCATTTTATTTGCACTTCAATCAAGTTGATGTAGTTCTATTAAATGAACTGCAAACTGATTTAAAATCATTACATTACAATATTTCTGATAAAATTTCCAAACTCAAGAGAAACTTATTCAAACAAAAGAATTTGTATATATCGCAATTGGTAGAAAAACAAAAGTATTTTTGAGACGGCGATTTCGGTACCAGTTACGAGTAAAAGACATTTGACCTTTGGCATTCTATTTATTATATATATCAACAGTTATCTATGTTTACCATTAAGTTCATATCTCTACTACAATATAAGAATATTTATTCCAAGTACTGAATTACTTCCACAGAATTTTGAACTTGAGCATAATCAGATTTATGTTGACTTGTAATTTCCGATAAATATTTATGTGTATCATTAGGCGGTCACATATCATAAAATATATCATATGTTAACTGCGAGGATTTCCCATAAGTAAAATAAGGGTGTCCCAATATGCACGCAGGATTTCATATGAGGAAAAAAGATTTTATCATTTAAAAAGTTTGCAGTGTTTTTAAAGGGTAGGCATTGCCATTAAATATGATAGAGGATATCGGATGGACAGATGTTCTCCACTCATTCGACATACTCGACTTCTTTTAAAAAAATTCTGTATCTCGCATACCTACGACTGAATTCCGTTGTTAATTCCCCCAAATTTCTGGCCAGTTAATTTATAGTCACGTGACATGAATTGTCCAGTAAATTTCTGCNTTCAAAAACATGCTCAAAAATGCAAAAAGTAAAAAATGACTTGCAACAATGAATTTTTCAGTTATTAAAGTTAATAAAAGTCAATACAGCGTAAAATATCCAACAATTTTTTTTAATCCATAATTTAAAAAGTACCAAATAAAAAAATAATACGAATTTATGAAATATTTTATTATTTCTAATTAGTATTGCTAATAGTAGTAAAAAATTGTTGGATATTTTGTGCGGTATTGACTTTTATACTGTTATGACTTCATCCAATAGATATTTTGAAAGCGTTCAGAGCCGTCTCAGGAAAAATTTTAAATTATAGCTAAAACCAGCTAAAAACATTTTAAGCGATTACAATAGTAATATCCTCTAATTCAGATTTAAAAATGACTTTAGATTTTGTCACAAAAATAGCAGCAACGTATATAAAAAAATTAATCCGATGATGGCGCCTCGAAGACGATAAAAATGTTAACGCCATTGTATAGAGCGAAAAAAGTGGCATTGTGTGCAGAAAAAATTAAACAATTTAGCAAATTTTCGGGTTTTTCCGGATATTTCTGGAACTACCTGGAATTTTAAAACTTTCTAAACAGTATATTGTTAGGTATAAAAAAACATAACTTTTTTCTAATCTGAGCCACCCCGTATCTCTTACCGTTTCCTAGATCCTAATGTTATCCCATCCTTATCTTGGACACACTGTATATCTATGAATTCATCAAACTTTAAAAAAAATAAGAGCACTAATCGATCCTACGGAAAAAAATATTATTTATTTTATTTATTCACTATTCGACTTATGTTTATAGCAATACTGTATAAAAATAGTTTTGGGTCAAACAATGAGTCAGTTTTTTTTGTATTTCTTCCGTACAATTGAATGGTTCAATCATATTTTGATTTTTTTTTAAGTTTAAACAAATTATCAACAATTACTGAAAAATTCATTGCTGCAAGTCATTTTTTACATTTTTGTATTTTTGAGCATGTTTTTGAACTGTGATTACAAATTTTTTTATTTCACCAAAAAGTATGTCAAAACGAAAAAAATGATTACCGGCAGAACTGCGTACGATGATTTTTTTAAGTAGAAATTTTCTTTGAAAAAAAGTGTTTCAGGCGGAAAAAAATTAATATCAGAAACTTCATGATTTTTTTATCCAAAAAAATGAAGTACTTTCACCGAGTTTCGTCAAAATTAAATTATTTTTGCGGAAATAAGAAATAAAAACAAAACATCTGAAAAAAAACTGTTTTTCGCATTTTTGTCGGAAATTTTGAGGTTATGTTAAAAAATGACCTCTACAAAAGTTTTTACATGATCTACAACTTTTGTAATAGATACTTTTTTGTTTGACGTCAACTTTCGCCAGAAATCCCAATGATACAAATTTTCATAACTTTTCAACCCCCAAATCAACCCTCCGCCGCCCCTGCTCACGCATTTATTTTTTTTTTCGTTTATTATAAGCCCCTTTACCATTTCCACTTATAAATGTCCAGGTAACAATTTTCTTTTTTTGCCCTCTGAGTTAAATATTTTGATCGGTCTATAACTTAAAATTGTGATTAAACCATTCATTTGTCGTACAAAAAAATATTATTTATTTATAAAACACCAAATTTTAACAATGCCATCTCTCTTAATATATGAGCTTTATTTGTATATACATAATAATCAAGACAAATTTATAAAACAATAATATCCACTCTATAAATACAAGACAAAAAAATAATATTTACGTGCCTTTTTGTAGGTTAAATGTTGCCAGCAGATCACCCAATTACTTGGGTCTAAAAATTTACAATAA